AGACCCCCATACTTTAATTTGGGGTGCCTTCGGCGGTCTAACGTAACCTTTCTTTCCGAGCGAACACCTTCAAAATCTCAAGCTACGCCCCTGCCGAAAGCCTGTCCCATAAAACAGTAACGAAAGAGAGGGAAAATCTTTTCTTGGGTCATCCATCCATATTCTACCACTGACTGGACTTAAGACGCAATATAATGGTGATTATCGCAAGCTACATTCTTTTAATTAAGAACTGAACTGAATACCTAGGTATCTTCCCTAATCTCCGATTATACTTCTAGAATCTCGAAAAAACAATACCAAACTATCCATTAATAAGTATCTCACAGTCAAATCGAAAACAAAGCACGTCATCTTTTATTGACAAATTTCTACAACCAGTTAAGCTAATCAAGTCCTCCCTTTTTCTAGTCAAAATCTATTTCTATAGCAGAACACACTGGATTATGCTTTATTGAAGAAAAAAAATTAAAAATAAAGGCAAAGGGCTCGATATATGAAAAACATTAATGCCAAAAAGGTTTTGAAGTTTGATAAGAACACACTGTATACCTGAAATAACGCAACACCGTCATACTGAGATACCACTTAAGCAGGTGAGAAAGAGTTTTACTAAGTTAATTCATAGGAGCAATTTCTTTGACTTTGCTTTTTATTAGAAACTGACGATGACCATTAACAAAAGTAATAATGTAGCTTACTATTATTAAAAGAATGCCTTCTAAGTATTCTCGACTGTCAGTTATCTCAGTTTAAAAAAGACAAGTCATTCTGCCTTATTGGAAAAAATATCATTTAAATCGAAGAACACTAGAAACGATATATGGAAATCTTTAATGCCAAAAAGATTTTTTAGTTCGTCACTGAGAAATAGTTTAGGCAGGTGTTAAAAGGTCAGTTTAATATAAATTACTCATGGACGCCATTTCTTTGACTCGACTTTCATTAGGACCGAACATAACCATTAATAAACTAACTAAGGTAATTATGGAGGTGATTATTGTTCGATGGATGGCTTAGCGTTTTGCTTTTCTTGTAGTTTTTTTATTAAACGAAAATTCTCAATTTTTTTCGCGTCTTAGTTTAAGAAGCACTCGTCTTACCTCAGTTAAGTTTGCAGCATACTATTTAAAAGGAGTAGCATCTTAATCAAAAGTGATCTTAAAGAAATTTTACGATGTTTTTTTTAAATAGCTTGAAATCTCTAAGAGGTTGGAAGAAGAAAGTTAAGAAGAAAAGCGTCTTAAATCGATAAGTTCAATATAATTTACTTTTTTTACTTAAAGAGACCGAGGCGTTTTTATAATTTCTTGTGTAGATCGTCAACATGCGAATCATAAAGCATGTTCCTGTCAAAACTACACCTAAAAGTTTTTGTGAAGGGACCTCGGAGATTTCAGCCTTATCGGGGCATTTTCTTCGAGCATGGGGCTGTCTTGACCTAGCTTCCTAGCGATACGATGGGGAACAAAAACTAAGTTGAATCCTATCTCAAACAGTGACTTCATTAAATTTCCAGTTCTCTCTTTTGTTCCCTTTTTTTATTATTATTTTCCCTTCCCCCGTGCTTGTTCCTCGTTCCTCGTTTTTTTAACATCACCCCCCTTTCAACTACATGAACAATGAGGCCAGCTGAAACTGAACATGAAAACTGAATTCTTTCTAAAACAAAATTATGACACACATAATATTTTCCCTTTTTCCTCCCCATGTTTAAAGCAGCAAATCCCTACTTTTGCTGCATGCTAATACCATCACATTCATTAGCTTCGTTTGCGTAAGCAGCGAGATTCATAATCTGCAAAATCGTTTTTTTCGTCGTATTTAGTTAAAACAAATGGGATTGCGGCGACTGTGGAATTTGGGAACAAGAATCGTTGCGTGACCGAATAAACACGCATGTTTAGCGAAGAAAGCCTTATAATGCGATTTACAACTTTTCCGGAACGGGTTGGTCCACGAATTCTTTCGCTTGAAAGCGTTGACTACTTTGGAACAAGTGAACACTTCATTGGTCGAAAAAAAAAAAACAGAAGAATCTTAATTAGCAAAACTTCGATGGTGAGGTTAACTGGTCTTTCATTGTGTGAAAATTAGTCTTGTGATGAGCATGCGCTTTATTTTCGGCGATGATTGAAATGAAGCGCTGTTGTTCATCACGAATTTTCGTGTATTTATTATACACGCGTATCAACCTACAACCGCAGTCGTATTTCCGGTCGTCGCTAACATGCATACTAAGTTAAAAAACATCAATTCAGAAATAAATAAGAAATAAAAAGTAAATATCCTGAAAAATACTCGAACGTCGATAAAGTAAGAACCTTTCGCGAGTAACTTCTGTTTCGTGTAGAATTAATCGCCTCCTCATTTCGTATCTAATCTCCAAGTAATTGAGAATTAGTTAACGCCGCTTTAAATTTAGTTGTTCTTCACAGTTTCAATTTCAGTTTAGCCATTACCAAGTTATTTCACACCTTGCCTTGTTAAACTACGTATAGTTCGTGACAACAGTAACAGAGCAATAACACAAGGTCTATTTCTCACCTCGCTGTTTTTATAACTGCAAATTTTTAAGGCATTTGAATGAAACTTTTAAATTAATAACTTATGAAGAGCACCATTTGTGGATTGAAAAGGAATTTTTAAGAAAAAGTGAGACAAAGGTGAATAACTGTCAGCAAGAGCTATAATAGGACTGTCCTATTATGGCTCTTGCTGTCAATTATCTAAGAACTTTAAGCAGACATTA